AAAAAAAAAAGAAAAAAAAAACTGCAGTAAAACACACATAGCGATACTTATGACTTTTACCAATAAGTAAAATGCTCGTTCCAGTATTCATCGTTCACTTGCAAATTCACATGATCAACGTTCGCGGAGCTGGCAACGGACACACGACAAACGTAGAAAATATAGTCCGTTTGCGTTGTCACGTTCATGTTTGGTCATGTAACACAATGTAATTTGTTAGTGGAAATTCTCTGTCTCTCACAGTGAAGTATCGGACGTCGGATATGAATGCACGCGTTCATTCGCGTAAACAGAGAGCGCATCTTCTCGTCGAGTGTACGCGGCTCGGACGTGCACGTTAATTGCAATACCAGCATGATAGTATGCCACTTTGAAATGTCTCCCCTATTGCTAAGCCCTGGCAATAATAATCGCGAACCGTGTGTTCAGACAATCGTTTAATTTTCAACGTTACATACCACTTGGCTGCGGCGTGCCGTCCGGTTGCGAAGCCCTCGCGATATTCAGGTGGCGATTTTATTGAACGATCGCAATCAACGTTTTTGAAAATGTCGCGGCCAGTGGCAGGAGATAAGGCACAGCCGATTTGTCGATCTATCGACACATCTCTTCTAACGATCGTGCGTCCAGCAGCGCGCAGTGATCACCGCTCCGATCGTCGAACGTGCCGAGAACAGCACTGACACTGAATAAAAGCCGCACCGTAAACCAGACGGTCCAAAGCGCCGCTCGATAGATCGAAACACGTCCCTGTACTACGGGCTAGCGATGGGCTCGAGTTTTCATTTTCACTCCGCCTTCTGCGTCAATCTTATTTTTCCTCTTGATTGCCGTCTTACACCTGGAACGTACTCAGATGGACGTGCAGTTGAATGGATGTACAGTTACTTCGCCGCTGCTGCTGCTTTCATCTTCTTTATTTTTCGACTTTTTCACGTCACCTGGTGAAGGCTAAAAATACGCGTTTCAAATACGAAGTAGCTAGGAAAATATATTGGTTGACA